GGGGCAGCGGCAGCCGTGGGGGTTGTGCCCCGGGGTCAGGTCGGGCCCTTCACCCCCCCAGGGCCCGGCCCCTGGTGGCGGGGGCCTTTGCGTGGCTGAGGTTCGGTGGTACGGGCGGGTGTGAGTTACCGACAGGAGGGAAAAGCTGAGGAAAACCAGCGTGTAACAGCCAGGCTTGGTGAAACGTTTAATTACGCGTCGTCTAAGCTGTGCTCTCTAATGAGTTTTTGTGTAAATACAGTTACAGAGAGGAGCAGGGAAGCGTTACCGTGTTCGTGGCAGGGGGAAGAGAATACATCTTTGGCTCAAAGCCGTCTGCTGGCAGAGCCGAGGGGCTGTTGGAGAAGGCAGTACCTGCCGAGAAACCGGCTCCTCCTGCACTGAGCAGCCGGCGGCTGCTGCTGCTGAAACCTGTAACGCTAAAACTTTTCATCCAGCGCTCGCGTACAAGTGTTCAGGTCGTGCGTTGTGCTTTTGTCTGTCGCTTTCTCAGCTCGCTGGCTCTTTGAGGTGAAACGGTTCTGTTGTAAGTCAGTCAGGCCAAGGGTTTGATCAGCTTTGTTATACTTTCTCATTTCCTACTCTTGTTTTCTGATTTCCTGTAAGCCCTGTCAGAGAATTTCGGATCTGTTCTCTCAGACCTGCCCTGAGGGCTCTTTGCCTTTACTTAATATTTCTCCTTGAATGTTTGTTGTCATTTGGTTTTTTTTGTCCCTGGCTGGTTTGTAGTGGGAATAACTAACTTTTTTCTCTTCCTTTTTACCTAGAAAACATGAAGGAAGTGAAGGAGCCGAGGCATCGCAAAGACAACAGGCGCCCAGACCTGGAGATTTACAAGCCTGGCCTCTCCCGGCTGAGGAGCAAACTCGTGCCACCAAAGCATGAGCCCTCAGAGAAGGAGAGGAGCAGAGCTGAGGAGGAGAGTGCCAGCGACAAGGGACTTTCGGGAGGAGAGGCTCCAGTCATGGAGGATTTCAGCAAAGGTGACAGCTCTAAGCAGAATGGCTCTTCACAGGAACATGAAGAGACAGAGACTAAAGGTAGTCTTCAGAGCCAGGAGAACTTGTCCAAGCAGCCCACTGCAGATGAGTTGTGTCCCAAGACCACCAGGAGAACCAAGAAGCCGGACCAGCAGATATACCAGCCTGGGAAACGCCTGCATTCAGCTGCCAAAGAACCAGCCCTACAGTCCGCTACGGAGGAAGTCACCAGTAAGATGCAGCAGCTGAAAGTCGAGAGAGATGAAAAGGCTGAGAAAGGTACCGGAAAAGACAATAACAGGAAAACCAAATTGAGCAAGGAGGATAGAGAGGGGAGCCAGACAGTGGAAGGAGTGAAAACCTCAAAGGGAGAAAAAGGAAGAAGAATGGAGCGAAGCGACAGGATAAGGAGAACAGGCGATGAGGTGATGCAGGGGAAGCTGAGCTCTACCAAACGGTATTCCCGCTCTGACAAGCGGCGGAGCCGATACCGCACCTGCAGCACGAGCTCAGCTGGAAGCAACAATAGCTTAGACGGAGCCCCGCTTGTGGATGGGGTGGAGAGGCGGCAGGAGCGTGCCAGAGAAAGAATACGTCCTAGGAAGCAGCTCTCTGCGTCCTCCACTGACTCCTTGGACGATGACAGAATTGATGAGGCAGAAGCATATGTCT